TAGGGGGGATGGCCACGCCTCAATCCCTTCTCCTCCATTCTCCTCTTGGGATTTTAGGCATGCACACACATGTGCCCAGAGTAAGTTTTTAGGTCATCACGTCCAGGACTTGAACCATGATCAACTATGTAAGAGTTCAGCAACATAACCATTACACCTTCTGCTGGTTCCTTTTTTCTTTTTTTTGGAGAGGTTTTTGCTATAGGGCATGTGCGCTCGCCAGGCGGAGACAGAGAGACAGAAAGCGAGAAATCATCCCCTGAGGGGGATGGCCTCGCCGCAATCCCTTCTCCTCCATTCTCCTCTCGGGATCTTGGGCATACACGCACACGTGCCCCACATGAGTTTTAAGCCACCGGGTCCGGGACTCGAACCGCAGTCGACTACGTGGGAGTCCAGTGACATAGCCATTACGCTAACTGCTGGCCCTCCTTTTTCTTTTTTTCTTTTTTCTTTTTTTTTGGAGAGGTTTTTGTTATAGGGCACATGTGCTCGCCAGACAGACAGAGATAGATATAGAGACAGAAAGCGAGAAATCACCCCCCAGGGGGTATGGCCACGCCACAATCCCTTCTCCTCCATTCTCCTCTTGGGATCTTGAGCACGCACGCACACGCGCCTGACATGAGTTTTAAGGCACTGGGTCCGGGACGCGAACTGCGGTCAACTATGTAGGAGTCCAGTGACAAAGCCATTACACTAACTACTGGTCCTCCCCTTTTTCTTTTTCTTTTTTCTAAAGATTTAATTTTATTATTATTCTTCAATTTGACCAAAGAGAGAGAGAGGAGAGTGAGAAAGCAAGTTGCCAGGTCCAGGACTCAAACCACAGTCAACCACGTGGGAGTCCAGTGTCCTAACCACCACACCACCTGCCTGCCCCCAACACAATGTCTTCTAAGAGTCTGCTGAAAATCCTTATTTAACAAATATATACAAAGCCAAGTATGTTTTAGGTACTGAAACGTATGCATTTATGTACATACATTTCCCATCTTTCACAAAAACAGGATATGATAAACTAAATATAATAGTTAACAGTTGTTGCGTATTTCTTCTATGTCAGGTACTGTAAACACTCCGCATATCTTAATCTTTATTGACTGTACACCTACCCCCTCCTTGGACACAGCAAGGACATAAGCAGAGAACCATGCGCAATTCCACTGCGAATTGGATATACGGATAGTATAGTTTATTATTACTTAAAAGTTTATTGTTCTCATAATTACAGGCTACAATTTAGAAGTTTGAAACGTCAGAGAGAATTCTATAGAGCCCAAGTAAACCTGAACCAGTATGAAGGTGATTAAAGCTTGTAAGTAATGCCACTTAGCTCTCGCAATACTTATTTGTTCTTTTCAAGCACAGGCATTGGAGCCAGAGTCAACAACATGAAATATCACAAACGACTCTAAGACATTCATCCTACACAGGCGAGCATGGAGATATAGATATATATTTATATAATATATACATACTTTAATATTATATTGGTCCACTGAGTATACATATTTTAACAAAAGATAAGAATCTATGTAATCCAGTTAAACATACATAAGATTAGGGTACACTTATTACATCAAAAGTTGGTGTTTATAAGTTACAGATATTTAGTATTTTCCAGAGTGTTTTTTAATTAAAAAAAATATTTTAAAAGCATTTCAAACATTTGTTCATTTTCCCAGTGCAAAAGAAGGTTGTTCAAGTCAACTTACCTTTTTCCTGAAGTGTAAGGGGAAGGGAAATAAAACCCAAAATATGCTACCTATCACAACTCCCATTACTACCTTCTCAGTCAACTTTTGTAGTAAATCCTTAGGTCATCAGGCATACTTATCAAAATTAAAGCCTTGGGATAATGATTCAGCCCTTGCTCCATATGGATGACTTTTATGTAAAATGTTTCTATTTACACAATAGAAAAAAGTCAGCAAGAAACTGGCTTAAGTTTGTTTTAAACTGCAGCAGTCCAATTGTGTGTAGAAAGAAAGAAAGCACCATTTCAAGATGAAATGAGTTGGATATTTTGAAATTTATTTATATGCTAGGCAGTAAGTTACTCTGATTAACACAAATCAATACTACCTTGACTTGGTGACTGCAGAGAATTTTAATTAGCTTTTAGGCGCATTTTTATCTTGGTATTCATATACCATTAAGTCAATGACTAATGTTAAAAAAAATAAGATTACTATACAGTTTACAGCCTACCTCACAGTCTATATAGAACTCAGTTTGTCTGTTAGGCCAGTTTTATAGGAGATGAACTTTTAACAAAGAGAGATTTTAAAATTTGGCAGATCTCTTCCAATTGAAAAAAAGAAAAATTGTTTTTGCTAGCTTGCCAATTTGGAGGTGAAAAGCACAGAGAAAGTAAGTAAACCAATTTAAACAACAAAGATGGACAGAAAGCAATTCAATAAAATACATGTCACTTTTTCTATTTGTATTCAGTGGAAGTTTTTACATTTCAAGTAACTGAGCCCTCATTAAAGAAAAGAAGAAGATATGAAAAACTGAAGTACCTTCCAGTTCTAGCTTGCTATAAAGTTTCTTCTGCAAAAGTACAAAAATAAACCTATAGTGAACTAAAGAGGACAGTGCCATACAAAGGCAGAATGGCTGCCATGTCAAGAATTTTGCTTGCCTTAGACAGATGGGTATATTTTAGGTGATAACTTTTCTCCACTGTTTATCACTTAAACATTTTCTTACAAATGTTATTTGTAAGAAACTGGTTTTATTGATTAGCAAATATATGGAGAGGTATCTAATCAAAATTTTAAATCTAGAGAGAGGTTTTAAAAATCTGTTTCACACATGAGGCTTTAACGTTTTTATTTAGGAAAAGATCAAGTCTGAAGCTCTAATGGTTCAACCTAAAGCATCCCTTTTTCCATAGCGGAGTCAACTTAAGCAAAATATTTTTCTTTGTCTCTAAAAAACAAACAGTATTTTTTACTACAAGGAAATACAAGAATGTACTTTTAACTACTCCATTTGCAAATCCTTAGATTCTAATATCCTGCTACAAATTGAGCCCTCTAAATTTCTGAAATGCACACGTGGAATTTATTTCAAGTAATAGTTTATGTTATATGTGGCATAAACGGATGGATGGATTCTGTGAACACGTGACTGTGTACACATTTCTGTCCACATATTCTGAAGTCCAGTATGGTTTAACCAAACTACGGGCCTAGTTCTAGCCATGGGACTTCCCTGTATATGCTAGGCGTATGTGCCCGTAGTCTAGTTAATCCAGGTATTTGAGACTGGACAGGATTCCTGCATGAAGACCCTCTTGGCGGTGCTTGTCTATCTCTCTACAAAGAGAAATTAAAAAAAAAAATTAGAGAAATTTTTGCTATAGGGCATGTGCACTCACTAGAGAAATAGAGAGACAGAAAGCAAGAAATCATGCCTCTCCCCGCCTCCAGGGTGGAGCATAGCGGAGTCAACTTAAGCAAAATATTTTTCTTTGTCTCTAAAAAACAAACAGTATTTTTTACTACAAGGAAATACAAGAATGTACTTTTAACTACTCCATTTGTACCAATCATAAAAGAAATAGAATATTCTTTCCCTTCCCCTCCCTCAACCTTCAAATCAGGGGAGAATACTGCAAACTTTAAGAACCCCACTGGCTATCATCAGAATAACTACAGTGCAAGGTAGCAGAGAGTGAAACTATTTCTCTATATTCCAGAAGGCAGAAGCTTGGGTGCTCTAGCTTTATGAGTAAAAGTAGCACAGGCAGGCAAAAGCTCACAGTAAATGCACACCAGAACTGGGCATAGGTGAAGTTGTCTGACTCGTTTACTGCTTTACCAGGAAAAAAAAAAGTCAAATCTGAAATAGAGTTTTAAAAAAGAAAAAAAGGATAAAAATCCTAAACTTCTGTCACATTTATAGGCATCTCAAACCTTTTGTATTCCCATGCTCATAGGTAGTTTTGATATACATTGTTAAGTAGCTTCAGTATTCAGGAAGAATATTGTAGTACTGACAAAAGACAAGAGAATTCTTCATGCTTCTGATATCTCAGATTTGCTGAGTGCAATGGCCAGTTCTAAGTCTTCTTGCTCTTGCTGATTCAGTCGGGCAAGCCTCTTCTCTTCTTCTCTCTCACTTTCCCTCTTGGCCCATTCAATCATGTCTTCTTCAGAGGGATACTGCCATTTAAAAGACCGAATGAATGAATGAATGAATAAAACACAAAGAAAAGAAGGAAAAATAGTTTCTACAAAAAGGCGCTTCTTGTTTCACCTGAAGGACTGTGGAGTCTTTTTATTTTTAACTTATTTTTTTTTTTCTTGAAAACATTTACTTTTAACCAGTTACTAAACTATGGTTAAATTTTAAAAATTAATTCAGTCTACAGATAGAAAATCTGTAAAACTAAACATTAAAACATCACTTAAAAAAGCAGTAGTGCTTCAAGTAGATTAGGAGACTTAAAAATAGGAAAGGTAGACTTTCTGATCTAACTTAAAACATTTACTACCTTCAATTGGGGTAAGCTTCTTCACATGATAATTAATCCTGCTGGAGATTTTCTATATTACTATAGATGTTAATGTACAAAAAACCCCACAAAACACAAAATATGCTCCTTTTGCTATACATATTATTAGAATATTGGGTACACTAAGCAAGACAGGAACCAAATCACTTTATAAGAGTATTTTGAAGGTTGGGAACCAGCAGTTAGCATAATGGCTATGTCGCTGGATTTCCATGTAGTCAACCGTGGTTCACGTCCCGGACCCAGTGGCTTAAAACTCATGCTGGGCGCATGTGCGTGCGTGCCCAAGATCCCGAGAAGAGAATGGAGGAGAAGGGATTGCGGCGTGACCATCCCCCCTGGGGGGTGATTTCTTGCTTTCTGTCTCTATGTCTCTGTCTGTCTGTCTGGCGAGTGCACGTGCCCTATAGCAAAAATCTCTTCCAAAAAAAAAAAAAGTATTTTGAAGGTTTAGCAGGCTTTGAGAACTTTTTTATTTAATCTAAATAAAATCTCAACACTTTTATTATTAGATTGAGGAAAGATTTTTAATCCACTAAAACTGGTAATTATTAGATTGAGGAAAGATTTTTAATCCACTGAAGATAGCAACTTTGGCAAATACTACATAAAACATTCTATTTAATTTCAAATCTTGTCACATAGAGGAATCCCATAAAAAGATGAAATGAAAGAAATTGTCAGGCTTTTTTAAAAAAAATGGCAGCTTTTTTCCTATTCTCTAGGGAATTAGTGGACTTTTGAAATTTATAATAATTTATACATCTTTTGTAATGTAAAAAGGAAGACATTTTTATTATGAGCTGCTTCATATTCTACTATATTGAGATTCTGGGATATGAAATAAGCAAAATGCCTCAGCTATGCTGAAGATTCATTCCAACCAGGTTTTGATTACTGAAACTATATTTAAGATATTTAATGCCATAATCTGCTGAAGAGTTATTTTTTCAGAGAATTATTTTATACTAAGAGAATTAAAATTTAAGAAAACCAATCTTCGTTTCTCTGCTTCGACAGCTCAAATTCCAGCTAACACAAGTTAAGTCAGTAGAAGTCTGTCACTCCATTTTTACACTATTCAAAACACTAATTCCTATTTTGCTTCTCACTCACTCAGGGGAAGCCAATGGAACTTACAGCACAGACTCAAACCAGGTAGCTCCCCTGCCTTAGCTGCATGCAGATTCTTGCCTACCTCTATTTTAACTATTGGGTCATTGGAAAAGTCATGCCACACATTATTGCATAGAAAAACACAGAAAAATACATCATGATTCTTCCAAAGACCCAACAGAAATAAAGCAATTGGTTGAGGACCCAATGCTACACTGAGGAGGGAAACAGTAGGCAAACAGTGGCGAGTGTCACCTGGCTACTACATCTCCTAATTTCAAACCACCTCAAAGGTATAAAGTGACAGAGGAAAACTCCCAGTAATGAAAGTCATTTTGCCTGAAAAAAAAAAAAATCTGGGAAAAAGCAATTCTGTTAGCTACTTTAAGAATTTAATATTTAAGGGACCAGCAGATAGTGTAATGGCTATGTTGCTGGACTCCCAAGTAGTCGACTGCGGTTTGAGGCCTGGATCTGGTGGCTTAAACTTACGCAGGGAGCATGTATATATGTGCTCAAGATCCCAAGAGGAGAATGGAGGAGAAGGGATTGCGGTGTGGCTCCCTTGGGGGGTGATTTCTCGCTTTCTGTCTCTCTGTCTCTGTGTCTTTCTGGTGAGTGCACGTGCCCTATAGCAAAAACCTCCCACCCCCCAAAAAAGAATTTTATTTAAAAATGAAATGATCCCAGGTCAGCAGATGGTGTTGTGGTTAAGGGCGCTGGACTACCACAGGACTGACCATGTTTTGAGGCCCAGACCTGGTGCCTTGCTTTCTCACTTTCTCTCTCTCTTGCTCTGTCCCTCTCTGGTCAAATTAAAATAAGTAAATAAATAAAATAAAGTTAAATAAAATTATTCTTTTAAAAAATAAATGAATAAAATGACCTGCTTTTTATCTGAATAATGACAGAATATATGACAGTATTTTACTCCCCTAGAGCTAGTGCCATCTCCATGGCGGGCTGCCCCGGCACTGTGATTTTTAGGTTCCGTCTATGTAGTATCATAGTACCCTTCCATTGTTTCCAATGATCTTCCTGTTTCAGTCAGCTCTGAGAGAATGCAGAAGACATCTGGGAGGCTAGTGAATTAGAACCCTCCAAATAAGTAAAGACTGTTTAGATCATGACAATGATTTATTTCATAAAAGTGATTTATATTTTTAAAAAGCAACTATATAAGTATAGTAAGTAGTTTTACTTTCTGTTCAAGGAATGCTCCAACCTTATCCTCACATATAATAGCTGCTGACTGACATCCAAAAATTACTAAAACTTTATACACAAACACACATACACGGTTACAAATACACAAGCTCATTACTGGCATTTCTCATCCAGTGGGGCAGACAGCAAGTGGCCATCACCCATAACCATCTGCAAAATAATAACTGTCAGGATTTTACATTTATTTATTTTACCAGACTAAGAGAAGGGTATAAAACATCGTACGTAAGAACTAGGACTACTGAGATCATTTGTGCAATGGAATGATTGTAGAACCATGAAAACAAAATCAACCAGAGGTTTTGCTTGGGGGAAGGATTGCTTTATTTTTAGTATGCTGGCAAATTTAGCAAATTTGGTAAAATCCCAAATAATCTTTGAAAACTCTTTAAACTATAATGGAAAGATTTTCCCCCAAACAGCCCATGCACAGTACTTACAGCACTGAAGTTAGCAAAATTGCTTGGGTCAGCCTCTTTATTGGCAGTGGTAGTAGTAGAAGAAGTGAATGGATCACAAAACATATCAGGATCTTTTTCTTTGGGGCTATCATTGCCTGGGAAAGGCTGAAATGGATCATTCAGTTTAAAGGGATCAGAAGAATCCAATTTGTTGATGGGTCTTTTCCCTGGATCAAAATCATTACAATTAACTCGACCAGTAAATATAGCAAACACAAGCACACAAGAACATGTACACAGGGAACATTAAAGAACCAAGGGTGGAGGATGGGTGAGTACCTAAAACACATTCTTAATATTATTTTAAATAGCCACACCAATAAGCTTCTCAAAATTTTCACATGCCTTTCAAATACATTCCAGTTATGTATAGCTAAATAAAAAGCATGTGTATGTCCAAAGATTAAACCTTCCCCTCCCTGCCCCAGAGTAGGATGTTCTCAAGAAGACAGGGAGGAAAGGACAGAGGAGAATGACTAGTGATAAAGAACAAGAGAAATGGCCTCTGTTGTTATAACTCAGTTCATCCTTCCAATAATCCTGTGAAGGCAGGCAAAATTAGAAGTACTGCCAGCACAGTAACGAGGCAGCTGAGGCTCAGACATAAAATTGTACACTTAACATCACAGAGCAGATCAGGGGACAGCCAGAATCAGAATCCAAAAAGTATCTGCACTCCTGGTCCAGTGCTCTTTTCAACAAAACACCTTTTCCCCTTCATCTTTCTACAATGTCATATACTTGCTATACTGAAGATTCCTAAGTCTAATTAAGGCATTGTTGTATAATATTACCTAGGATTTTTTTAAAAAGAATTATTTAAATTTATTTTATTTATTCATTCATTTATTTTAATTTGATCAGAGAGAGAGAGAGAGAGACATACAGAGAGAGAGAGATAGGGAAAGTGAGAAAGCAAGCTATCAGGTCCAGGACTTGAACCATGGTCAGCCATGTGGGAGTGTCCAGCACCTTAACCACCATGCCATCTGCTGGTCCCCAATATTACTTAGGATTTTAAAAATATGGGCCAGCAGGTGGTGTGGTGGTTAACACACTGGATCCCACATGGCCAACTCTGTGGTTCAAGTCCTAGACCAGGCAGCCTGAAAAACACACTGGGTATGTGTGTTTGCCCAAAATCCCAAGATGTGAATGGAGGAAAAGGAATTGTGATGTGACCGTCATCCTGGTGGAACGGAGGTGTGATTTTCCACTTTCCCTTTCTCTGTCTGTTTCTCTCCAGTGAGCACATGCACCCTATGGCAAAAAGTCTAAAACAAAACAAAACAAAAAGAACCTTCACTGTTATCACATTAAGTGTAAAAACTTAAATGAGCAAATGAACTATATTTTTCTATTCTTTATTCTAAAGAACTTAATACTACCAATATATATCATAGGTTCCTTTTCCTTAAAAGACAGAAATCAATACATTTATCTGATTTCTCAACAGAAATTATGTATAAGCAATTATATATGCAATATTTTAAGTCAAAGAATTAAAAATAATTTACCCCAAAAACTACCATGGGGGGAACCAGCAGTTAGCGTAATGGCTATGTCGCCGGACTCCCAAGTAGTCGACCGCGGTTCGTGTCCCGGACCCGGTGGCTTAAAACTCACGCCAGGTGCGTGTGCGTGCGTGCCCAAGATCCCGAGAGGCGAATGGAGAAGGGATTGTGGCGTGACCATCCCCCCTGGGGGGTGATTTCTCGCTTTCTGTCTCTATGTCTCTCTCTGTCTGTCTGGCGAGCGCACGCACCCTACAGTGAAAAGCCCTCAAAAAAACAAAAAAAAAACACAAAAAAAAAAACACAAAAAAACTACCATGGGGAAATTATAAAAAGGCAAGAATTATCTATAACTATTGGGGCTTAAAATTTCCCAAGGAATGGCATATGATTAAAAAAAACATACCATGTATGTCTTCTCACGTAACAACTGAGCAGCACTACAGCTACTCAGGGGACTGCCTTTTTAGCCATTTTCATAAACCTTATCTTCATTAAAAACAAAACACATTTTTCCTTCGTATAGTGCTGAATGCACACATACACACACACCAAAAAAATAACAAAAAATATAAAGTTATTAGGAATTTGTTCCTGGACCCACCCCCTAGGGAAAAAAAGTCACTATTTTAAAACAAAGGAGTCTTGGGACCAGCAGCTGGTGTAAAGGCTATGTCGCTGGACTCCCATGTAGTTGACCGTGGTTCGAGTCCCAGACCAGGTGTCTTAAACTCACACCAGGTGTGTGTGCGTGCATGCCCAAGATCCCGAGAGGAGAATGGAGGAGAAGGAACTGCGGCATGGCCATTGCCCCTGGGGAGTGATTTCTTGCTCTCTCTTTCTGTCTTTTTGGCAAGCACATGCGCCCTATAGCAAAAACCTCTCAAAAACAAAACAAAACAAAACAAAAACACAAAGGAGTCTTAAGTGAGGCAAAAATCATATGTTCTTTCAAGAAAAATAATACCTTAATTTAAACCAGTATATTACTGAATTCTAGAAAGACTATGTATTCTCATTACACAGGATTTAAGGATGACTACATTTTGGAGGAAAAGAGAGCTTCTCTTTTAGATCAGACGAGATCGAGCACGTTCAGGGTGGTATGGCCGTAGACGCTTCTCTTTTAGAAATTAATTAAAACACCAAGATGCAGGAAAATGCTGTTTAAATGATAACCTATGAGTTTCGAGAACGCAAGAGAGTTCATCTATACTTTCCTTTTCCCATTTACTGATGAATGGGATTTGAAAAGCAGCTCTGGCTAGAATGGCAGCTCCTGACAGTTATACGCATTGGCCTTTCAGGCACACGTCTGAGTCTGCACTGGGTCAGAACAAGTGACAGCAGCAGGCTTCTGCCATGTGTCTGATCTGTTATGTTTACGGCCCTTTAGTAATACATAAGACCACTGAAAGTCAAGCCTATGCAACATTTTTCAGGAAAAGCAAAAGCATCTAGTTCATTTAGGAAAAGTACCAACTCTCATACCAGGTGGTGGCGGGCAGGGTCTTGTTGGAGTTCCGATCTTTGGTGGCAGTGCTGGGGGTACATCTTCACTTTTGACTGATGTTTCCTCAAATACGTTTTTTGTAATGACCACATTGCTGACAGAACTCGATGAGGCTGAACTGAAAGGATCTTCATTGTTGACCTTTGTTAAAAAGAAAATGTTTATGCGTGGTTTCAAATACATACATTTATACTAAGCAAACTGTGCACGGTCATGCAGCATTTAGAATTATTTAAGTATTGGGGCCAGCAGGTGGCATGGTGGTTAGGGCGGCTGGACTCCCACATAGCTTATTACAGTTTGAGTCCCAGACCTGGCAGCTTGCTTTCTCACTTTCCTTCTCTCTCTGGTCTACTTCAAAAAATAAAACATAAAAAATAATGACAATGGGGACCAGCAGTCAGCGTAATAGCTATGTCACCAGATTCCCATGTACTCAACCATGGTTCAAGTCCCGGATCTGGTGGCTTAAAACTCACGCCGGGTACGTGTGCGTGCGTGCCCAAGATCCCGAGAGGAGAATGGAGGAGAAGGGATTGTGGTGTGGCCATGCCCCCTGGGGGGTGGTTTCTTGCTTTCTGTCCTTGCTTTCTGTCTCTCTGTCTCTGTCTGTCTGTCTGGTGAGTGCGTGTGCCCTATAGCAAACACCTCTCCAAAAAAAAAAGATTATGAATAAAATTAAATAAAAAATAATTATATTAAAAGAAGCAATCTTTTTTTAAAAAAAAAAAAGAAGAAGAACATTCCTTTTAAAAGTGATTTAACTTTGGGTCCAGCAGGTGGTTTGGTGGTTGAGGTGCTGGACTAGGAGAAGCAAAAAAGAATTACTATTTAAGTATTATGCAGCTTTATTTATTTCAATTCTGAAAGTAGGGACATTTTAACCTTTGTATTCAAGGCCAAATGGGATAAATTTAAAAAAAAATAACTGTTTTCTCTGAGTGGTGATTTTATTATCACTACTTATTAAGAGCAACAGATCAAACCAAAAAAGTTAACTCTGGATTAAATTTGTGAAGCTTTGGGAAATATTCAATACAAATCTACCTGAGGCCAATTTTGTTCTATTTTTATAGTTTATTTCTTGAAAGAGACAACAAAGGAAAAAGGAGAGAGAAAAGTGGGAGGGAGGGAAGAGAGAGAGACAGAGACAGAGAGAGAGAGAGCGACCGACCCCCTCATCAGCTTCTTAGCCCTCTCCCTTAGCCCTCCAGCTAACTGGGATCTTGAGTGCACTCCTGGTGTTAAGTCCAGTTGGAATCGAAACCTAGAGTCAGCTGTGTGGCTTGCAGCCCTGCGGTTCAGTATGCCATGGTGAAGCCCATTTTAATGGGCCTTTATGCCTTTTCTCAAACGAATATCTGATCCAAATGATAAACACCAAAAACTGTCTATACTTTCCAATAAAAAAAAATCTAATGCTAATGCAAACAAAACAGCACCTTGAAGAACTATAAAGACAACTTGAAAGTAATTTATTTAAGCACACTGATTTCAGAGTCTTTTTTTAAAAAAAAAATATCTATTAGGTTGTCAGGAAAGTCATGATGCCTTTTTTTTTTTTTTTTTTCTTTTTGTGATAGGGTGCATGTGCTCACCAGACAGACAGACAGAAACAGAGACAGAAAGTGAGAAATCACCCCCCAGGAGGGATGGCCATGCCACAATCCCTTCTCTTCCATTCTCCTCTCAGGATCTTGGGTACGGATGCACATGGGACCAGCGTGAGTTTAAGCACCGGGTCCGGGACTCGAACCATGGTTGACTACATGGGAGTCCAGTGACATAGCCATTACACTAATTGTTGGTCCCAATGATGCATTTTTGTATAGAAAAATACATCATGGCTTTCCCAACGACGTAATATTTGTTTATTTCTTTATCTGTTTCGATTTTCTTTCTTTTTTTGCTTAAGAATTACTTTATGTAACTTTATTTATTTTAAATTTGACCAGAGAGGGACAGAGTGAGAGTGAGAGTGAGAGTGAAGAGAGAGAGAGAGAGAGAGAGAGAAAGAAAGAAAGAAAGAAAGAGAGAGAGAGAGAGAGAGCGAGAGAGCGACCCGTCAGGACCGGAACACGAACCACGATTGGCCATGTGGAAGTCCAGCGCCCTTAACCACCACGCCACCTGCTGGCCCCAATTTGTTTTGATTTTCAAGTCACTGGGTTAGACTTGAAACCAGTCGGCCATGTGGGAATCTTGCAACTCAACCACACCACCTGCTGGCCCCCACGGAGCAAGTCTTAACACGTGTCTGAAGAACTTCCCTTCGAATACATGGAATAATGAAAGATTCGGGTTTTTTAACTATAAGTTTTTCTTTTTATTCCTGGCAGCACATATGTGCACACATGAGAGAGGGAGGGGGGAGATAAGCACCCTCCACAGGGTCTGGTTATGCTGCAAACCCATTCCTACACTTGCCCAGTGTATTTCAGGCTGACCACGCTAGGCTTGCATTGTGGGATCCAACTTCTACAGAGCAGTGCGTTACCACTATGCCAAAGAGCTAGCCTGAAAGATTCACTCTTGTATAATAAATCATACTTTATCATTTTAAACCTATTTAGGTCAGTAGTTTTTTTTTTTTTTTTTTACAAAAAAAGTATTTATTTATTTAGTTAGTTAGTTTCCACACGAGTTTTGACAGAGAAAGAGAGCGAGAGGGGAGTGAGAAAGCAAGCCACCAGGTCCAGGACTTGAACCATGGTCGGTCATGTGGGAATGCCAGCACCTTAACTACCACTCCACCTGCTGGCCTCCTAGGTCAGTATTTTTCAACACTGAAACTGTTAACATTTTGGATATAATTTTTTAACATTTATTTCATTTTATTTATCATTATTATTTTAATTTTGGCCTGAATATAATTTTTAAATTATTTATCATTATTATTATTATTTTTTTTTTATTTGACCAGAGAGAGAGAAAGTGAGAAAGCAAGCCGCCAGGTCTAGGACTCAAACCACAGTCAGCCATGTGGGAGTCCAGCATGTAAACCACCACACCACCTGCTGGTCCTAGGCTGGACATCATTCTGCATTGTAGGGGTTTCCATAGGGCACAGTAAGATGTTTAAGTGGGAGGTAGTATCCCCCACCCAGCTATAAAAACCACAATATATTTAGATAAATGTTCGTTGTGGGAGGCTGGGGAGCAAAATGACCTGCAGATGAGAATGAATGATACAGATATTTTACATACACTCTAACCCTCTCCAGGTCTGAATCAGTACTACGGCTACAAGAGAAAATAGGTGGTAAACATTTAGTGGTGGATTTTTATATTATCTTTTTTAAAAAAAGAATTATTTATTATTCATTTATTTTAATTTGACCAGAGAGAGATAGTGAGAAAGTGAGAAAGCAAGCCACCAGGTTCAGGACCCGAACCTGGATCAGCCATGTGGGAGTGTCCAGCGCCTTAACCACCATGCCACCTGTTGGTCCTTGTATGAATTATCTCAATACTAATCCTAACAACCTCAGAATGTAAAACCAAGTAACAAATATAGAAAGGATGAAATTAATGCCCAGATTTTATAACTAATGATGCAGACAATTAACAGGGGGAAAATGTACTGCAATTAAGAGGAAAATGTTTTATAAGATAGAAGACTCTAAATGTAAAGCTGCTGAGCAAATCTGTCAGTAGAAAACTATAATTAGCAAACCACCATCATTTTCTATTTATGTATAGAAATATGTTTACTTTAACTACTTTTACCTTCCTTTCCTATCTGAAGTCAACATTTGCTACGAGTTACTGAAATCAAATTGCATATCTGTGAGGGGGTTACAAAACTAAAACCCTGAATCCATCCTCTGGTGAAAACACTGTATTTCCCCTTCCCATTAATCACTGCAGATTACCTTTGATAATGTGCTGAAGTCAGCAAATCCCTCTCCAAAGGATTCATTTCCAAAAACAGAAGCAAAGGGGTCTGTAGCTAAAATAAAGAAAGAAAATCAATGAAATAGGACAGCAAGACATTAAATTTCATGACCTCTGTTGGCTGGTAAGTCATACAGATGAAAAGTATCTAATCCCAAATATTAACTCCTGAATTTGTGACTGGTGTCTATAAAGACAGGATTTACACTGATAACCCCACAAGATGTATTCCTTTTTGTATAAATCAACCGATGAATGATTCAAGATCAATACACATAAATTGACTCTAGCTAAAATGTTTAAGGCTTTGGAACATATGCCAAATAATACAGCTCCTATGAACTTAAAGTTTTTTCTCTTTCTTTTATTTTTAAGATTTTTTTTCCAGAGGGTAGGGACATGTGCTTGCTAGACAGAGAGAGAAAGAAGGAAAGTGAGAAACCACCCCCCTGGGGGATGGTTATGCTGCAATTCCTCTTCCTTCATTTCTCCCACCTTTTGGGATTTGGGGCATGCTTGCACATATGCTTGTTGCATTTCTCAAGCTACCGGATCTGGGACTTGACCTGCCTGTAGGCCATGCGGGATCCAGCTGCCTTAACCACCATGCCACAAGCAATCCTAAATTGAAATTATTTCTAATAAAGACATCAAATAAAAAAGTTAGATACCATTAATCCTACATTTCACATTCATCTTTCAAGGCCCATTTCAAATACTTTATCAGAGCCAGCAGGTGGCATAGTGGTTAAGGTGCTGGATTCGCACATAGCTGCTGACTGCAGTTTAAGTCCCAGACCTGGCAGCCTGAAATTCACACTAGGCGGTATGCATGTGTGCCCAAGAGGAGAATGGAAGAGAGGGGACTGCCTCGTGGTCATCTCCCTGGGGAGTGATTTCTTGCTTTCTGTGTGTCTCTGTCTCTCTGGCAAGCGCACGGGCCCTATAGCAAAAATCTCTTAAAACAAACAGAAATGCTATTTAAACCACAAAGCTTCTACACTGGTTACCTAAGACTTATAATCTCCTTTGTTAGATGTAAGGTCCTTGAAAACAGGGAACAAGGACTATCCAATGAATAATCATCAAACAATCAATAATCAAATCTTTATTGATCATATACCAAGTCCAAGAAAATAAGGTACAGTTTTATCTCAGAAAATCTCAGTCTAGTAAGAAACATGCGAACAAATGATAATACAGCATTCTCACATGGGCTATTAGGGAAGCATGAAAAAAACCTGTAGTGGAATTCATTAACTAGGAGAATGAGGAAAAGAATGAGCAAAGAAGCTATTACATTTGATCTTTCACATTGTTTTAATTCATTAATCAATTATGTATTTATTTAGCTATTGGGTATGTGAGCTCACCAGAGACAGAGACAGAGAGAAGGAGAGGGAAAAAGCACACCTCAATGGAGTATGGTTACTCTGCAATCCTTTCTTCTCTATTTCTCCATCCTTTCAGAATTTCTGGCATGCATGGATATTCGCTCAGCGTGCTTTTAAAGCCACAGGAGCTGAGATCTGAACTGTAGTCAGATGTGGGATCAGGATTCTTAACTGGTAGATCACAGGGCTGGCCTAGGATCTGGCTTTCTCTGCACAGCAATTAGCCACTGGGTATGGACCAGCCCCACTTGAGCTCTGAATAAGAACTTGTAAGCATTACTCAGCTAAAACTCCACAGGCATAAGTTCTCTCTTCCATCATGACGCACTTGCCAAATGGACTAATGTTTTCAGCTGGAATGAACTGATCTACTCCCAGATATGCTTCACCTATTCAGTCACAGGGGCCACCAGTAACACCCAAGAATGTTTCCATAAATTGTTGCCTGATATAGGAAGGAAGGAAGATGTGGAGAAGTCCAGAGTTACAGGAAATCCTCCAACTTCAGCTTTTTTTTTTTTTTTGGAGAGGTTTTTGCCATAGGGCGCGTGCACTCGCCAGACAGACAGAGAGAGACAGAGAGACAGAAAGCGAGAAATCAGCCCCCCAGGGAGGATGGCCATGCTGCAATCCCTCCTCCTCCATTCTCCTCTGCGGATCTTGGGCACGCACGCACATGCGCCTGGCTTGAGTTTAAGCTGCCGGGTCCGGGACTCGAACCACGATCTACTACATGGGAGTCCAGCGACACAGGCATTACGCTAACTGCTGGTCCCCAACTTCAGCTTTTTTTTTTTTTTTGGAGAGGTTTTTGCCATAGGGCGCGTGCACTCGCCAGACAGACAGAGAGAGACAGAGAGACAGAAAGCGAGAAATCAGCCCCCCAGGGAGGATGGCCATGCTGCAATCCCTCCTCCTCCATTCTCCTCTGCGGATCTTGGGCACGCACGCACATGCGCCTGGCTTGAGTTTAAGCTGCCGGGTCCGGGACTCGAACCACGATCTACTACATGGGAGTCCAGCGACACAGGCATTACGCTAACTGCTGGTCCCCAACTTCAGCTTTTTTTTTTTTTTTGGAGAGGTTTTTGCCATAGGGCGCGTGCACTCGCCAGACAGACAGAGAGAGACAGAGAGACAGAAAGCGAGAAATCAGCCCCCCAGGGAGGATGGCCATGCTGCAATCCCTCCTCCTCCATTCTCCTCTGCGGATCTTGGGCACGCACGCACATGCGCCTGGCTTGAGTTTAAGCTGCCGGGTCCGGGACTCGAACCACGATCTACTACATGGGAGTCCAGCGACACAGTCATTACGCTAACTGCTGGTCCCCAACTTCAGCTTTTTCATCAGTACATATCTGCTAAATCCCACAGGTTGGGACTCCTCAGTTTCCTGTTATTCTCGATGTGTAGCAGCTGAAATAGAGCCTGACTGGTATAGAAGCTCTCCTGACTGGCAGAGGGGTGACAGGGGGAGAGTTGGGCTCCTTTCACTAGAGTGACTAAAAAACCTGCTTCCTGCCTTTCCCCTTCCTTGCCCCACAGCATTTACAGGAAGTCACAGCATGTGCAGCAACTGCCCGGTGAGGTCAGATTTGACTGAAACACTGTGAAGTGTATACTGAGAAATTAACTTTAAAAAATCGTATTTCTATACGAGAAAGCCTCCGGCTTACTGAAAAGTTTTTCTGCAGTTTCCTCATAACTGGGCCCTTTAGCACTGGTCCAAACACTGGGGAAACATATCTTAGATGAATGGCAATGCCCTTTTGCCCAAACAGGAGAATTAAGAATGTTCTCAGCTATTGATCATGGATGATAGGAAGCAGAGGCCCATTCCCAAGTGGAAGGACTTGCTTCATGTGATCTTGTTCAGATCATGTGTGAGACAGCTGCTTGGGAGGAAGATCCCCAAAATACCCGGAGAGGAACCCTGCAGGGGACATTCTTCCTCTTTATGCACACAGGAACAATGAGTCAGCTGACTGGACTTTACTTATTTTTAAGTATCCTCCTTTTGGGGTGAGGGAGAAAGAGAGAAAGAGACAGGCACCCCAAAAGGCTCTCCTTGCTGCAACCCGCTCCCAGCCTTAGCTAGCCTATATCACTATGTACACGTGCATACACTCTCCATGCTCAGGGAGGTCCCAAGATGCAAACCCTGGGTCTTATGTGGGTCCAGTTGCCTTACCACTGTGCTTTAAGTGTAAATATGACCTTATTTATTTTTTTTGAGAGGTTTTTGCTATAGGGCGCGTGCGCTCGCCAGACAGACAGAGAGAGAGACATTAGAGACAGAAAGCGAGAAATCACCCCCCAGGGGGGATGGTCACACCACAATCCCTACTCCTCCATTCTCCTCTCGGGATCTTGGGCATGCATGCACACGCGCCAGACGTGAGTTTTAAGCCACCGGGACCGGGATGCGAACCGCAGTCGACTACGTGGCAGTCCAGCGACATAGCCATTACACTAACTGCTGGTCCCAACTATGACCTTATTAACCCCCTCACCCCAAGAATAAGGGTAAAAAACACTTTGGAAAAATACATAAAACATTGTTTTAAAAATTATCCTTTTTTTTCCCCCGGTAGCGCTTGTGGGTCTGCAGGTCTGTGTCGAGCCATGGCCACAGGTCTCAGTTCCACAGGATGGGATTTGTTTCAGTTGCCAAGAATAAGGCCTGCTTTGAGAGATATCAACTGAAAATTTAGAAGATGATGAGAGTAAAACTGATTACTTACTATGCTTGGAAATACTTGGTGATCTAGGATAAAAATAAGTACAACACACCCAAATACAGGATGATAGTTCGTGTAACTAACAGAGATATCGTTTGTCAGACTGCTTATGCCCATATGGAAGGGGATACAATAGTCTGCACAGCTTATGCACACGAACTACGAAACACAGTGTGAAGGCTGGCCTGACAAATGATGCTGCAGCATACTGAACTGGCCAGATGCTGGCCCACAAGCTTCTCAATAGGTTTGGCATGGCTGGTGTCTATGAAGGCCAAAGGAAGTGATGGGAGGTAAGTACAATGTAGAAAGCATTGATGGCTGGGACCAGCAGATGGCATAATGGTTACGTTGCTGGACGCCCAGTAATTGACAG